CACATGAAACTATATTACTTCCAATCTTTACTATTATATGGCATTCCTACCAACAAGAATATCTACACAAGCACATAATGAGAATTTAACCAATTATAAAGAAATATTTCAATACAGCACTTCAACCATAAATCATTCCAATACATTAATTTAAATACACAAAAGACCTTACATATAAGGGAGAGTCCTTGTTCAATCAATTTCCTGGTCTAAGGCAACCTTTCACACATGTCAAGTGCTATAACAAAATCTTCTAAAAATTATGGGATAGCTCTAAAATAACCCAAATTCATTTTATTTGATTAGAACAATAGAGAATCATTCCCTTATGGTTCTTAATGCCACCTATTGAAATAAAATTATCCCACCCCTTACCTTACGGATATTCTTTGATGAAGATATGGATGAATTTTTTTTCTGATTCTTTAGAAAACTCGAACAATCCAATCTTCGAAACGATCAACCTAATCAATTAATCATGCCTAAACATAATTAATACTAAGGAGATGCTAATTTTATACTCTTATATGTATATGTAAAAATTGAAATTTTCTAACTTGTGCTATAAAAGTCCGATTAACACAAAATTAGTTTTTATGATCTAACTAATATAAAAGAATAAAATGGAATTGAAAAACACTCACTTCACCTTCTCTAAAACTACATGGCAGCCAACCCTTGTGAGGGTTTAGTGCTTTTTAATCACATTTTTGAAAAACTAATTATGTAAACAATATAAGCCATGCATAGTCTACATATAGTACAAAAGAAAGTAAGTTTAAAAACCAATAATTTTGAAGTAAAGTAAGACCCATTTTTACTGTTCATGACAACCAAAAATAGAAAAAGTTTAAAATTTTAATCGGATGAAATGATAATTAACAACTAATTAAGCTTAATTAAGGATATATATTAAAAACATACCTTAAAACAAGATTAAATGAGTGGAAGAAAATGAAAATGGTGAAAGGAAGAAGAAGGGGTTATGGACTTGGAGAAGAAGAAGATTTACGTAAGAAAATGGTCAATTTAGTCAAATAGATAAAGAAATAATAATATAATAATCAATTATTTTACTATTTTAATGTAATTAAATAAAATAATTATGAATAAAACTCAAAAATAAAAATAATTTATGTCAAACAATTAAAATAATTATAACATAATTTTTGACATCAATATCTCTTTGGTTATCACTTAAAAAGAAAAAGAAAAAAAAAAAAATCACACAGTTCCTGTGAACACATAAAACAGTATTGACCAAAAATTCAAAAATAAGCAATAATTACCAAAATAATTATTTTTACACTCCAAATATTATTTCTAATTAAAATATAATTTTTTATTATTTAAAATAATTCTTCTAGATTAAAAATGCTATTTTTATGCTCATAGAGCAATTTAAACCGGTATAAACGAGCATTTTTTTTTATTTTTATTTTTTTTCCAAAAATTGAAGAATTATAATCTAAATTATAACTATATTAACAAATTAACTGTTTAGGAAAAACGAGGATGTTACATTAAACGCTTCTAATAACAAATATTTGAACTAAGATTCATCACCCTGCAAGGAATTGGCTCCTTTGATGCGAATAGGAAACAGAAAAAAGAAAAGAAAAGAAAAAAGCTAGAACAAGAGAAAACAACATGACTTGCTTAAATCCATTACCAAAATACCTATTAATACTAGTAGTGATGCCCTCTCTTTTTCTAACCAAAAAGCTAGAACTGAGATGCACTTTCTTTAGGAAAGAACGACACAAATTCGCAGATTCAAAGCATCGATCACAACACCCCTCAAAGACTTTCTCAAAGTCATGTACTGCAAGAACAGATTCTTCTATTATTTTCTTCTTGATTGGCTCTAAACTTCTTTGCCATTCATCTTCAGGGCTCATTCTAATTTAACGATAATCCCTTCTCAAATAAGTCTACGTAAAAATCACTAGTTTATGAATCAATTGTTGCTCGTGATCATGATCATGTTCACTACTTGAGTGTCGATACACATTTGCCATGATCCATCTTTCTTGGGCATACGAAGTGCAAGAACTACATAGGGACTAAAGCTCACATGAATCAAACCCTTTTGTAGCAATTTCTAAATCCTCTCTTTTTAAGGAGAAAAGAAAAATCCTAAAATTAAACGGGCCAAAGACTACCATAATATTTATAAATACGAGTAAATATATTTTTAATAATTTAATAAGACTTTATTTCAATTAAGAATTTTATTATAACAATATAAAAAACCTCATTAAAGTTTTTATCCCAAGCTTATAAACCGGCTGGCCGAACACTCGTACCTGAATATTTATGCAAATTATCTTTCAATTTGATTCTAACATATAATTTAATAATTTTATTGTTTTTTGCAAAATTAAGTAACTAGATAAGTTAAAACTTAAATCAACTTTCGTATATTTTTATTATCGAAACTTTAAATTAAATAAGAACAGGTAAATATATTTTTAAAATTTCATAACATATTTTTAATAGGGACAATTTAATGTTACAAAAATCCACACAAAATGCCTTAATTTAATTAAAAAGCCTATCATAAAAATATAAAAAACCTCGATTACATTTTTTTTCCAATCATATAAACAATAAAATAATAACTTTATATATAAGACAAAATAATATTATTTTATTTAAAAATATCGAGATATATTTAAATATTATATTAAACATTTTATTTATTTCAACAGACTCAATTAATATTCTTATCAAGATAGTTAAATCAAAATTCAAGTTGTGAATAGTAAGAATTATTTTTTAAATCATAAATCGAATCGTATATTGAATCCTAAAATTTAGGATTAACAATTTAAAACATAAAAAATATAAATATAAGAGTACTGTGATGTAAAGAAATATTAAAACATCCAATATATTAACATTTTAAAGTCAAATAATATGTAGCTAAGTAAAAAGAGAAGGAGAAAACAAATAAAAAATAAGAATAGTTGTAATGGTAGAGAGGGATCACCAAAAATCTTAAATAGGTAAGTAGTGAATAAATGCTGGAAAATTTAATTTTTTTGGTAAATAAAAAAAAAAAAAGATATGCTAGAAAAACTAATTTTTTTAGTGAACAGAAAAATAGAGATGCTAGAAAAGCTAATTTTTCTGATGAAAAAAAAATAGAAGACACACTTGAGAGGAGATGCTGGAAAATATTATTTAATATTTCTCTAGCAAAATGGAGCAGGTAAGCCCTCTAGATTAGATGATTTCTTCTGCAAAATGGAATGGGTGAGCCTTCGGACTAGCTGATTTCTCCAACAAAATGAAATGGGTGTGATGGTGAAAATGGGAGAAATTGCTACACAAAGGTCGTACTTCTCTCAGAGAGAGAAGAGTGTGGAAAAGATGAAATTAACACGTTTTATAAAGGGTAAATGACCTTTCTACCCTAAAAAATAATCCAAATTGTGCGTTTTATAAAAAATAAAATAGGGTTTCTTGCTTTCCCCCAAATCATGCCATCGCAACGTGAAGCAATGTGAATGTCTCCTTATTTTGGCCGCCAAACACTGGCACCTGTTGCGACGTGCCAAACGCCCTGCGATGTGGCGACAATGGTAGCGGACGGCCGCACCACACCGTTCCAATTTGAGCACGACTCAGTTTGCAAAAGAATCGTGTGCTGCCATCCATATTCGCGATTCAGCCCGATACGTATGATTCAAGCAATTTTGGCAACAATTCTACCAAAAGATTCGTATCCCTATGTTACAAAATCAAATCGAATCATTAGTATCGTATCGTGAACCGTACGATACTAACTACATTGATTTTTATAAACAACAATGATTTATTTCTAAATTTCTTGGACCTGGATCGCCTGCAGTTCTAGCGAGAATTACAGCCTACAGTTTTGCATTTACTTACGTGAATTTTAGTAAAAAGTGATTTTAGCTTACGCTAAAAATATTCGCTTAAGCCAATTTCACTTAAGTCAAAAACATTCGCTTAAGCAAAAATAAACTGCAACATTTTTTTTCTTTCTGTGTATTTTTGTTTAAGCAAATTTAGATTCGCTTAAGCGAAAATAAGCAGAAAAAAAAAATGTTTCTTTCTCTTACTTCCACTCCCTCTTTTCTCCTCTCCTTCTAATCCAGCCACCCTCTTCCTCCTTTCCTCTCATTCAATCCCTTTCTTTTCTCTCTTTCCCTATCTCTTCTTCCTTCAGCCCACCCAGTTTCTTTCTCCCTCTCTACTCATCTAGTTTTCCTCCCTTCCCCTCTCCTTCACCCCTACTCATCCCCTCCCATTCTCTCCTCATCTAACCCTTTTCTTTCTCCCTCTTTACTCATCTAGTTTTCCTCCCTTCCCCTCTCCTTCACCCCTACTCATCCCCTCCCATTCTCTCCTCATCTAACCCTTTTTCCTTTCCTCTATTAGCCTTATCTCGCTCTCCTTTTCCCTTGTGCTTTTGTTTCCATCTCTAATCTCTCTCTCAGTGTCCCTTTCTCTCTTTTTATTCTGATTTTTTTGCTACTTTTTCTAAATTCGCTTAAGCAAATGTTTCTAGCTTAAACGAATTTTTTTAACTTAAACTAAAATCACTTTTTATCAAAATTTTGCTTAAGCGAATGCAAAATTGTAGCCTACAATTTTTGCTAGAACTACATGTGATCCAAGTCCAAATTCTTATGTAATTATACTTACTCAAACTCAAAAGTCCTTATTTAGTTTTATTATTCCTTAATTAATTTTTACATTTCTACACATAATATATAATATATTATTTCTTAATTTCCTTTTTTTTTTTTTTCATTCATAACCCACTCTTTCTTTGTACTCATTTCATACTTTAGTTTTAGAGTGGAAAATAATAATTTTCCTTGCTTAATTAATTGAGATCACGTGTATTATAAGTGTTAGGGGGTTTAGTTTGGTTTAGTAAATGGATTTTGCTTTGCACAAAGGTAGGCAAATTAGAAAAGCTTCTCTCTCACTCCCAATTACCGAACAGGAAAGAATACCAAAACCAAACCCAACCCAACACAAACACCAACCTCTTCTCTTCGTTCCCCTCAACCCCCAAACGAAACTATCCCTTTCCTTCTCCTTCAAACCTCAAAACCCTCCCTAAGCAAAAAAGTATCATTTTCTTCTCTTCAACTATATCACCACCACCATGTCCTTTACCTCTCTCTCCACAACGCGAGCGCACACACACACACACACTCTTTATTTTCTCTCAAAAACAAAGCATGGCAACCCAAGAATACTACACACCTTCACTTCGCATCGACCCACCACCCGTGACGCCTCTAAAGTACTCAAACCGCGTTCGGGTGAAGACACTTCTCGAGAAACGCGAGAGTGTGGTGGCCCAGAGAGTGGTCGTTGGCGGGTGGGTCAAGTCCGCCAAGGAGGTCGAGAAGTCGTCGCCGCCGCCGCCGCCGTTGACGGACGACGCCGTCGACGATACGAGGAAGAACAAAGACGTGTCGTGCGTGGAGATTCTGCAGTCTCGGATTCCTTTGATTCGTAACATCCTTGAGGTCTTCGGAGGAAGCGGTTATAGTCAGAAAAAGAAACGTGAGCCTTCAGTGCCTCCTAAGGTTGTCCCTCCCAAACCTTCCACTGCGTATCTGCTTCTCTCCGATGGTTCCTGCGTTGGAAGCCTTCAGGTTTGCTTTGTCATTGCTCTGTTTCGTTCAATACTTTTTCAGGATATTTTTAACCACTTACAAAAAAAATTTCTCTCTTTTGTGCCTTTTTTTTTAGTAATATATGATTTTTCCTCAAAATACTTTTTAATTTTACTCTCTGTAAAATTATTTTTGTAGTTATTTTTAAAAAAATTAATTTGGTTGTTTTTATTATGTCTCTTGGAGACAACGACATGTGATACTGAAATTGATACACGATCATATATAAATTAGGTGTGTCTAATTTTTAAATTATATATAGATTAATATAAAAAAGTTATTTTATAGGGGTTAAGATTACAATTCAATATATTTTGAGAGGTTAAAAATATATTTACCTAAACTTTTTTTTTAATAACTTTTTTAGTATAATTTATTGAAAAATGCTACGTACTATCTTTAGAATATTGATAAAGGAGTTAAAAGTAAAATCCTTTTATTAAAGAACATAAAAAGGTATTTATTTCTGTAATTTTTAATGCATTTTAACATAATTTATAAAAAATATTATTTATTAAATTTCTTAAATACACAAATGAATAAGATATTAATTTATTTAAAAAATCTAATTTTAAATTGCTTCTAAATATTTTACGACTAAATTTTATGTTATAAATTACTATGTAATAAAAATTTATTAAATGAATAACAAATTATTCGCCCTTAACTTTATTGAAAAAAGAAAAAATACTGCAAAACGAAAAGCATATAATTTGCTTGAAAGCAATGGCCTTTTGGTTTCTTATCAGTGTACTCTCGAGATATAAACAAACCTTAGAGCACATATTTGACGTGACATATACGCTTAACTTCTAGACATAAATTTCTTTTGATATTAGATCATTAATTGGGAATTTTATGGCTTATTTATGTGCCTAAAGTTACAAGCTGTGGCTTTTACAAATAAAAGATAAATGTTAATTAGTGCTCTGTATATATTTATTAAAATTATATTTTAATAAATTTTTATTTTTTAAAAAGTATGATTAATATACTTTTATCATAATCCTTTGCCAACAAATTTCGACTAAAAATTAAACTCTTTAGATTTAGGAACACTTGTATAATCTTTTACGTACTTCTGTAAAATTTTATAAAATATTTTATGTACGAATTCTTTAATCAATACGTTTAGAATATTGATTATCTGGATTATAAATCAAAACAGCTTTCATATTTACTTTTCATGTTGTCGTTGTTATGAACTCTTAGGTTGTTGTTGATTCCTCAGTAGCTGCCCCTAGCCGGCTTCTGGCTACTGGAACATGTATATTAGTGGAAGGTCAACTACAACGACCATCATCAGAAGGGAAGCATGCTATTGAGCTTAAAGCTGAAAAAATTCTTCACATTGGGACTGTTGATTATGATAAGTATCCATTGTCAAAGAAACGAATTCCACTTGAAATGTTAAGAGATTTTGCCCAATTTCGGCCTCGAACAACCACGGTGAAATTCAATATCACTTTTCTATTTTCTCATTATATTTCCTTGTTCATCTTATTATAGCTAAAATCGTCTCCACGTTGACACATTAATTGTGTACTTTTCTTTTGTTCCCACAGCATTTTACATTTTAAATTGAAGGTAACTTTATGATTTGAATAATGTTAAGATGTCTCATAATCAGCATATTTTTAAAAAGGTTTGAGGATTTTTTTTTTTATTAAACTAATTTTTAGAAGTGAGTTAAAATCGTTGCTTATGTTGTATAGCCATGATACTTTTTACAAGGGCAGCTTTTAGACATGAACTGTTCTACTTTCGGGTTGCATTCTAATAAATAATTGAATGTTCTTTGCATTCTATATTCTTGGAATGAAGTGTTGAAATAGGTCCTAATTGTTTATATTTGAACACTAACATCTCAATATTTCTCCATCATATATATATATATATATATATATATATATATATATATATATCTCAGTAATATATGCAAAAGCATGCATGTCATTTTATTAATTTTATGTAAGATTTTATAATTAGAAGTTTAACCTTAATCTTGTTTTTATTTTTTATTAAATATCTTGTGTCCTCGTATATTAGGTGGCAACTGTCATGCGAATTCGTAGTGCTCTCTCTTTTGCAGTCCACTCATTTTTCCACAAACATGAATTTATTGGAGTGCAAATACCCACAATAACTGCCACAGACTGCGAAGGATTTAGCAACATGTTCCAGGTCACTACCCTGAATCAGAAAGCAGAGAAGCAAAATCTAAACACCATCTATGAGAGTGATGGTGTAAACCTTGAAGTTATAAAGGCAGCAGCAAAAGAGAAAAGCAACTTAGTTGAACAATTGAAGAGAAGTGAAAGCAATAGGGAGGCACTGGCTGCAGCAGTGCAGGATTTGAGGAAAACAAATGAATTGGCATCACAATTGGAAGCAAGAGAAAAGAAAAAGTTGGGAACTTATTTGAAGGATAACAAAGCAGACTCTTCCAAAGATTTTTTCCATTCCCAAACATACTTGACTATCTCTGGTCGCTTACATCTTGAGAGTTATGCATGTGCCCTTGGAAATGTCTACTCATTTGGTCCTAGATTTCAAGCAGATAAAACAGATTCTTCTAAACTTGCTGCTGAAATGTGGATGGTTGAGGTTGAAATGGCCTTTTCTCAGTTAAAGGTAATTACCCTTTTTTTTTTTCGTCTGAAGGATTTCTTATCACATAACAATTCCAACATCTATCTGTTAACATTCAGTATCTTATTCCATTTGATGTGATGTTAATGAAGGAATTGGGGCTTGTTTATTTTGAGAAAACATTTTATCTTTTTATTTTGGGATTTCACAAATAATTATAGAATTTTGTTAATCTGATAAGTAATTAATAATAGTAAAATTTTATTAAAAAAAACATTTATTGTATTATTATAACTTTAATATAATAACTATTTATTTATTTTATAAAAATTTTATATTTGTAAATGTTTAAAGTCAATCTTAAAAACTGAGATTAACAAAAATCATAATTATAAAGTCGCCATCTTGTTTTAACTTAATTTCTTATTTTCAAAGATTTGTATAGAAACAATGAAAATAATATTTCGTTGCTTACTTATTTCTTGTATCAGTATTTGAAAATAAATAATAAAGTGAAAATAAGATAATTTTGTAATTATTGTGAAAATTAAAAATATTTTCTCAAGCTAGACAAATCCGTATTTTCGTCCTACTGGAGGGTTCTAAATTCCCTTAACTTATTTGCATATGTATATTATTTCGTGTATAGTGATTGGAAGGTTTTTGTATCATTGAGTAGCATGATGCGCTTTGTGTTACTTGCAGGATTCCATGAATTGTGCTAACGACCTTTTCAAGTACCTCTGCAAGTGGGTACTGGAAAATTGCTCTGAAGATATGAACTTTGTTTCTGAAAGAATTAACAAAGACTGTATCAATCGTCTTCAGCAGATTGTATCAGGTTCCCCTGAAACAATGTCCTACAACGAAGCTATAGATGTTCTAAGAAAGGTAGGTATTGTCAAATCCTCATGTACTTATCATTTTGATTTCTGCCACTCTAATTTGTTTGTACTTTTTTCAATGATAAAATATATTACTTCTGTTCTTATTCATGTGTAGAATAGAGAAAAGAATTATTTTTATTTATTTATTTATTTATGTTAAAGTTTAAGATAATATTGACTATTATTTTTCTACTTATGCCCTTTTTTCATATAAATATTAGTAATTAATTGCAATAAAATGATTGGATTCCTTGGTGGGTATAATTTCTTCACTTCTTGGACAAACAAATAGAAAAGCAGACAATATTAATTCATCCTCACTTAGTTTTAGCTTCTTTTCAAAAGAAAATTAGAGAATCTGAAGTCGAGAGAAATTTTTAGATTAACTATAAAAAATTATCCTTAATTTAATAATCTACACTAAGCATATAATAGTAAATTCTTTTATTTCTTCTCTCCTCTCCTTGTTAACCAGACAAAGTGTCCTTCTCTTTCATTAAAGTGCTTTTCTCTCTCCCAATTGAGGAATTAAACCGTGCATTAATGTTGTCCTCCCAGGCTGAAGATAAGAAATTTGATACAAACTTTGAATCAGGTGTTGTACTCACTTCAGAGCACTTAAGGTATTCATGGATTTGCTGATTTCCGTTAAGAGCAAAAGTGTTGGTTTCACCACTTTTAGTTTCTAATGGATCTGTTTATGTGAATGCAGCTATCTAGCTGATAACATCTACAAGAAGCCGATTATGATATATAATTATCCAAAAGAAGCTAAGCCATTTTACGTTCGCCAGAATGATGATGGAACCGTAGATGCATTTGACTTGATTGTGCCAAAGGTATGACCAAACGTGACTCCTAGTGTGGTCTGTGTTGATAGATTGGCACAACCTTGTATTTTGTTTTTGTGTGTTGAGGTTTTTAGAAACCTTTGCAGGTGGGAACAATAATTTCTGGTAGCCAAAATGAGGAACGCCTTAACTTGATAAGTTCAAGGTACTGCTATTCTTTACCATTTCCTTATTTCTGTGAGAGACTGCCAAAAAAATTTTAAAATAATAAAATATTATTGGATTGGAAGCATGTCAGATTTCAAATAATTATTTCATTAATGGTGCCTGTTTCTTTGGTAACATATTAACTATTCATTTTCTAACATAAATGGTATGGCAGAATTAATGAGTTGGGCTTGCCAAGAGAGAAGTATGAATGGTACTTAGATCTTCGTCAAAATGGAACAGTGAAGCACTCTGGTTTCTCTCTAAGGTTTGATCTTATGGTCCTCTTCGCAACTGGCCTTCTCAATGTCAGAGATGTTATCCCTTTTCCAAGAAGCTATGGCATGGTCAACAATTAATTAAATTTTGGGCTAAAATATGTTCAAGCTTCCTATGCCTGTTGATATGTCTGGGCTAAAATTTATGTAAATTATGAAGTGATTAATGTATGTCAAATGTATATAAAGAAACTTATAATTGAAATTGAAATTTATTTTACTCGTGTGAAGTTTTTGCTAGTGCTTCTTTATGGGAATTTAAAAAAAAAAATTATTCAAGAGATTCAGAAAAACAACTAGGGACTCTTAGTTGATATGTTTATTGTGTTAAATTAAAGTTAAATTTCAGAAAAAGTAAATTAAAAGAAGGGATGAAAGAAAGGTAAATAGAAATGGAAATAAAGATAAATGTAGAAAAAAAAAGAACACAAACTTAAATAAAATTTGCATTAAAATAGTAGTGAATTACATACTTGTATCCTTTTGAAAGCAAGTAGTCATTAAAATGAACATGTTAAGCGCTTTTAATGTGTCTGAGTGACAAAATTTCACCTTTATGGTTGTAATATATGATCTAGTATACATACACAACATTCCTCCCCTCTTGTAATGATATTTACACGATATGTACAATTACAATTACATAATTGCGTACTTAAAAACTGTTGAGCATTAAACTCAAAATTCATCAGTCTTTTTAGGGGATGTTTTCCAGCGAGAATTTGAATAGTCAAGAATTATTATCTTTAATTCTGGTTTTAAATGTCATTTATAGCATTTATGTATTGCTGTTATTAGTATATTTAGTGAAAGAATTTAAAGAGTCTATTATGAGATTATATATATTAATATTGTATTCTGTATTTTGTAGTAAAAAGAAATCTGTTAAAGAAAATGGTCCATGGGCTATCGAACATGGACTACATCAAAAAAATTTGTGAAAGTTGTGTACTTGGCAAGCAAGCAAGGACAAATTTTCAAAAGAAGGTAGATTATTGTGCAAGGAGATCTCTCGAGCTGGTACACACCGACATATGTGGCCCAATCACTCCGAAGTCTTTTAGTGAGAAGAGATATTTTATTACTTTCATTGACGACTATACAAGGAAGACTTGGGTTTATTTTTTAAAGGAAAAGTTGGAAGCATTTGAGGTGTTCAAGAAATTCAAGGCGATGGTGGAGAAGACAACCAATCTTTACATTAAGGCTTTGCGGTCTGACAGAGGCGGAGAATATATGTCAACCGCTTTCACGAAGTATTATGAGGAACAAGGTATCAAAATATTCTTGACAATACCATATTCACCTCAGCAAAATGGCATCGCCGAAAGAAAAAAATCTAACGATCCTTGATATGGTTCGATCAACGTTGAAGAGCAAAAACATGCCAAAGGAATTTTGGACAGAAGCAGTGCAATGCGCTTTGTATGTGCAAAATTGATGTCTGCATACAAAATTGGTGAGTAAAACACCACAAAAAGCTTGGAGCGGTCATAAACCAACTATATCACACCTTAAAGTGTTTGGTAGTGTGGCCTACGCGCATATACCAGACCAAAGAAGAACCAAACTTGATGATAAGAGTAAGAAATATGTGTTCATTGGGTATGATGAGAAGATAAATGCTTTCAAGTTGTTTGATCCAATTGACAAAAAGGTGATTGTAAGTCGAGATGTACAAGTGAATGAAGAAAGCACATGGGACTAGAAGAACCAAAAGGAGGCAAAACAAGGATAGTCATTGAGTGTTGCACCAATAATCACTCTAATAACTTCTCAAGTTCATGATGAAGAAGAAGAGCAGAGTCAACCTAGGATACAGAGCCTACAAGATTTATACGACTCAACCGATGAAGTGCATTTGATTTGCTTATTAGCAGATTCAGAGAACATTGCCTTTGAGGAGACAGTAAGAGACATGAAGTAGAAAGTTACAATGGATGAAGAGATAAAAGCAATTGAAAAAAAATGAAACTTGGGATTTGGTGGAGTTGCCAAAAGGATATAGACCCATAGGTGTAAAATGGGTGTACAAGAAGAAGATGAATGCCCAAGGCGAGATTGAAAGGTACAAGGCGTGCCTAGTTGCAAAAGTTTACAAGCAAAAGGCGGGAATCGATTGTGACGAAGTTTTTGCTCCAATTGCAAGAATGGAGACAATTCGACTTCTTTTATCTCTAGCTGCACAACTTGAGTGGCCAATCTATCAAATGGACGTGAAATCCGCATTTTTAAATGGAGTCCTTGAAGAGAAAGTCTATGTAGAGCAACCGCCTGGGTACATGAAACTTGGAAATGAGAGCAAAGTATTGAAGCTGAAAAAGGCGCTCTACGAGCTAAAACAAGTGCCCCGAGCATGGAACACCCAAATTGACACTTACTTCAAGAACAAATTCTTACAATGTCCTTATGAGCATGCATTGTATGTGAAGAAAGAAGAAGGTAATTTACTTCTTGTTGCTCTTTATGTTGATGATCTTATTTTCATAGGGAGTAATGAGAAGATGGTTGAAGATTTTAAAGACACTATGACGGGGGAGTTTGAAATGACAGACTTAGGATTGATGAAGTATTTTCTTGGTCTTGAGATCAGACAAGGAAATTTTGGAATTTTTGTGTCACAATAAGCACATGCGAAGGACATTTTGAAGAAAAACAAGATGGAAGATTGCAAGCTGGTAGCAACGCTAATGGACCTCAGTACGAAACTCTCTAGATTTGAGGGAGGAGACCAAGTGAATGCAAGTGAATACCATAGTTTAGTAGGGAGTCTACGGTATCTCACATGTACAAAGTCGAACATTATGTATAGTGTCGGTATAGTGAGCTGATACATGGAGGATCCAAGATGCTTGCATTTCAAAGCTATTAAAAGAATTCTTTGATACATCCAAGGAACAGAATCACTCGAGCTACTCTACTCAAAGACAAATGAATTCAAGTTGGTAGGATACTTTGATAGTGATTGGTGCGGAGATATAGATGACCAAAAAAGTACAGCGGGATACTTGCTCTACGTGGGGAATATAGCATTCACTTGGCTCTCAAAGAAGCAGCTAATTGTAACTTTGTCAACATGTGAGGCGAAATATGTGGTAGCATCTTGGTGTGTGTGTCACACGATTTGGCTAAGAAATTTATTACGTGAGTTAAATCTACAACAACATTAGGCAACCAAAATAAGAGTTGTCAACAAATTGGCTATTAAATTGGTAAAGAATCCAGTTCATCACGAGAGGATTAAGCATATTGATGCTCGCTTTCATTTTATTAGGGAACATGTGAAGAATGGAGAAGTAAAAATGATTCAAGTTGCAAGTCATGATCAATTAGCAGACATTCTTACAAACTCCCTGCCAACAGTTTTGTTTGAAAACTTGAATAAGATGATTGGAATGAAGGATGAGAAAGGTTTGAGTTTAAGGGAGGAATTTGTTGAGCATTAAACTCAAAAATCATCTATCTTTTAGGGAATGTTATTAAGTGGGAATTTGAATAATTAAGAGTTACTATCTTTAATTCTGGTTTGAAATGTCATTTATAGCATTTATGCATTGCTGTTATTATTATATTTAGTGAACGAATTTAAAAAGTCTATTGTGAGACTATATATATTGATATTGTATTTTCTCTTTTGGTAGTAGAAAAAAATCTATTAAAGAAAAGATATTAATGGCGTCTATCCTTTGTTCTTTCTTTTTTCTAAAAAAATTGAAATTTTCGTATCTTTTGTTATAAAAAAACAAGATACATAGAATGAAATACTATTAAAACTAAAAATTGATAATTACTATTTTTTAAGACATATGACACCACCATTTTAGACTTCTAAGACCACCAAATATTTTTTAAGTACTTCACAAGTCTTATAGTCTAACCAACCCTTTCCAATTCTTCAAATAATCTTTAATTTCGACTTCTAATGACCACTTGATTTCAACGTTTTCAAATGCTTGCCACCTAAGTTCAATGTAATCCCTCCAATCCTTCACATTATAAGATCTTTCAAAATTTCCAAGTAATCTCCTCAAATCTCATGTTCTTTAAAGAACCTTTTTGGTGCCTCTAAATGATAATGCACTTTGAATACTTCTAAAGAAAATGTAAACTTTTGAAATGCTAACACATTTTTAGTATTTCAAGTATAGCATTTTGAGTTCTTATCTTCAGCACTTTGAGTTCTTTAAACCCATAACATTTTGAATTCTTCAAATTCATCTTTACATCCTTTTTTACTCAAAATGTCATTTCAATTTTGAGCACACTGCCAAAATTTAATATGTGATCAAGAGATGTATTCTCAATTTTTTTTTTCATAAATATGAGCGAATGATTATGTTATAGTTATTTAATTAGCTTATAAGCTTTTAAAGTCTTAAATATATTTTTAGATCACATATCTCAGTAAATTTTTGTTTTTGGTAATTTTAAATTATTATTATTTTTATCTTGGTCATTATATTTTAATAAATTTGTTTAAGTTCTTTTAACATAGTCTAATAAAAAACTAACATTTAATAATATTTTAGAAGATTAAATTAACAATAAAACCTAAAAGTAAAACTTCACAAAAAAATAAAGACTAAAAACAACATCTTAAAAATAAAAATTCGTTAAAATGTGACAATAAAAATGTATTTAAAACTGATTTAAATTAAAGATACCACGGACACCATGGACAAAAAAAATAAAAATGTAAAAGATGCATATTTGACTTCAAGTAAAGATAACATAATTAAGTATATAATAGATGCCATTGAATCGTTAAGCCAAGTGTGATCATATAAGGTACCACCAAATAGTTCCAATACCAAAGCCAAAACCCAAACAACACGGATATCCACTCTCTTCTGTCTTGTGTTCTTTCCCCTCAACCCCAAAACGAAACAATCCCTTTTCTTCTCCCACAAACCCAAAAAAAGCATCATTCCCTTACACTAACTATGTCACCATCACCATGCCCTCTCTCAAAACAAACACAAACACAAACAAAACATGGGAACCCAAGAGTACTATACACCTTCACCCGTGACCCCTCTCAACTACTCCAACCGCGTTCAGGTGAAAACCCTTCTCCACAAACCCCAGAATGTGGTGGGCCAGAGAGTCGTCGTTGGCGGGTGGGTCAAGTTCGCCAGGGAGGTCGACATGTCGTCGTCGCCGTCCGTCGACGGTACGAGGAGGAACAAGGACATGTCGTTGGTGGAGATTCTGCA